GACAGAGCAGGGAGAAGAACAGGCAGACGGACCAAAAACACTGCTGAGGGGAGCAGCGGGCAAGACAGGAGAGGTCCACCACACCATGTGGGTATCTCCCCAGCCGGCTAGGACGGTACCCACACTGCAGAGGCTATGGACAGCTTCATAGCACTGTGCTCAACCACCTGCGCCACCAGGGAGGCCCCCAATGTTCATTTTTTAATGTGGTTCCAGATGATGCTTCAGAGTAGAATGACCAGTGCTTATGTATTTTTATCTTAAGTCCCCACAGGTTGGGGTTCATGACCTTGACCCAGTACAAGTATCCTTTCCCTGTCACAGTAACTGGTTCAATGATGTGCATGATATCCAGGCCAGGTCAATCAGAATCCTTCCCTGAGATTTATTATATGAAGTTGGGAAAGAGCCTTCTACTTCTGAATTTGCTAAACTGGGATGATGTGAACTCCCAATACCTCTCTGGGCTATACCAACATACAGAGAAAAGTTGAGTGACGGAAGAATCTGAATATACTGCTTGAGTCCTTGAACTGAGCTGAACTTGAGGCCAGTTCTACTCTCCTTCCCAGTCAATGTTCCTTTATGACTTAATTTAGATTGAGTCTGGCTACTGCCACAAGAACAAAATAACAGATATACAATTTTTCTTTGTCCTCTAATTGTATAGTTAATGTCTTCATCCTAGACAAAGACTTTTCATTTACTCTAGTTAGGGTTCCTACTTTGTCCCATCATTCCTGTCTATAGAAAAAATTTAGAATTCTTCTCTCACCCTCCCACGCTTCTGACTGTACCCAGTGCTTGTATAAATAAATAAATAAATCTTTTAAAAAAAATTAGAATTCTGATTCTATTATTCAATCAATTACTTATCCCTCTCACTTTTTATTAGGATGCCTTCTACGTACCCATCAAAATCATTGACAAAAATGATTTGAGTTGAGCTGGACAGAGTATTTTCAAAAAGGAAAGGAAAAACAGCATGTCAATTTATCAATCAATGAGCATGTCAGCCATCAATGAGATGGTTGAATCTATGTTTATATCCAGTCTTCACACTCCATCCTGTCTCCTGATCTCGTGACTTGATCGGACACCTTGCCGAAGACCACACTGGAGCTTGGCATGCTGCTAAGCTAGCCATTGAAGGTCTCATCCAAAAAGGACAGAAGATTTTTTTCAATCTGGTTCTTTAAAATGCTCATAAACTCTCAGTAATTGTCTCCCTCCTCGTGCAGGCATGCAAACACACATAGACACAATCCCTCTCATGCCTCTGCTCCTCCCTCCCTGCTTATCTCATCTGAAAAAGAACCATTTTTTTTTTAAGTGGGTAAGGTCACATGAAAAGAGAAGAGAGTCTTCCTGTTTGGGAAGAGAAATCTTTATTTCAGAACAGTCTGTGACACGTAGCATTTGGGAAAGGAGAGTGGGGAGCATGGAAGGTGAGCAGCCTCTCAGGTGCTCCCTGACTCTGAGGCTGCACATTGAGTGCTCTGGATAAAAAGCCTGAAGCTGGAGGGTGGGGATCCCAGAGCAGAGGCCGCTGTTGTTCCTGTCAGCCTGTAGGAGGCAGCGTGGTGCAGCGACAGAACACACCTGCTCCCAGAGCACAGCCTGGCCCCGCCACTTGCTGAACACCCACCGCTCCCTGTGCCACACCCATGTGTCACACCCACATGCCATACTTCACTCTTCCCAGCTTCTCCCTGTCACACTTAATTCTACTCAGTTCCCAAGTTCCATGCTTCGCAGATCTACCTCTCTAATCTCATTGCCACATTCTCATTTATATAATCATCTCTGCCAACATTTCTTTGCCCCATTCTCGCTCCCCGCCCTTCTAAGACTCAAATTCGACCTGTATTAGACTATCTGCTATTAGCCCACAGCCCTTGGAGGTTTGGTTTGGTTTTCTTGCCTCCTCCCCTTCCTCCTTTTCTGTTTCAATTCACATGACCCCTGTTGACCTTTCATCAAGTTCCCCGGTTCTCTCCTCAGCTGTGCGGGGCTATTGAAAAGTCAGTGGAAAGAATTAATCTGCGACACCATGTTTTTTATTTCTAGAATTTCTACTTAACTTTCTTATAGTTTCCAAGTCTCTGCCAAATACTCCATCTGTTCATGTAAGGGGCTCACCATTTACCACTAGACCCTTTTAAAAAAAAAATATTTATTTATTTATGCATACAAGAGCTGGGGCACAGGCCAGAGGTGCGGGGGTTGAGAGGATTCATCAGAGACAGAATGGGGAGCAGAACAGGCAGATCTACTGAAATACACTGCTGAGGGGAGCAGTGGGCAAGACAGGAGAGATCTGCTGCGCCATGTGGGTAGCTCCCTGGCCAGAGATCAAACGTGCTGCAGTGGCTGCGGATAGCGTCATAGTGCTGAGACTTAACCCCTTGTGCCATCAGGGAGGCCCACCTTTTACCACTAGACCCTTTATTTGTATTTGTCATTATTACTTTAATTTTTTATTATTTTTTAAAGATTTATTTATTTTCATACAAGAGCTGGGGTTCAGGCCAGAGGCACAGGGAGCAGAACAGGCAGATGGCTGAAATAGACTGTTGAGGAAAGCAGCGGGCAAGACAGGAGAGGTCTGCCATGCCATGTGGGAATCTCCCTGGCTGGCTGGGAATTGAACCTGTGCTGCAGAGGCTGTGGACAACTTCACAGCACTGTGCTCAACCCGCTGCACCACCACCCGCTGCCCATTATTACTTTTAAAGGTCCTGTCTGGGGCCTCCCCTGGTGGCGCAGTGGTTGAACGCTGGCTTGCGAGACTGCCCATAGCCTCTGCAGCGCCAGTTCGATCCCTGGCCACCGGTAAGGGTCCCACAAAAATAAATAAATAAATAAAATAAAGTTCCTGTCTGGTCAGGCGACATCTGTGTCATCAGTGGGTCAGGTTCTGTTGATTTATCTTCTGATAACGGATTGGGGGGACTTCTGTCTTGTCTTTTTGTGGGTGTTGTAAATTTGTGTTGTATGTCCAACCTGTGGAGAACAATCAAGACTAAGGTAAATAGTATTTCTGCCTCTTTGGTCAGCCTGCTGGTCCAGGTGGCTGAGTGATCTAGTTTGGAGTCAGGCAGGTTGGGTTCTGTTGTTGCTGTTGTTACCACGATGCCTCAGACTCCAGGTCCTCTAGTGGCGGGGTGCTTACAGAAGGGACTGGAGCATGTGTGTGTTTTGGGGGGGAGGGTTGTGTTCCTGTTCCACCTTGGGTTCTCAGCACTCCTGCAAGTCTGCCCCTCCGCTGGCAGAGACTGCTGTTATCACAGAGGGGCAGGGCAGGAATGTAGTGGGACAGGGAGGGTCTCTGCTTGCCGGGTTCAGCTTCATTCTCAGTCTTAGGTCCTGTGCTCCTGAGCGTCAGGAATGTGGTTTTCTCCTAATTCCCCAAGAGGGTTGAATCCGGCCTTTGATTTGGAATGGCCTGTGTTTCTTGCTCTGTCTTCCAACAGAGCAGACCTCTGATTGACTCTTCACCTAAGGCAGTTTCCTGTCTCTCCCCTTGAGGTAGAGGGTTTTGCTTCTATTCTTTTCCCCAGAAGCAATGGATCTTTTCCTGTGTTCAAGTGGACAAAATTATTGTCCCTCATGGAGAAGCACATGGAGTTTTCTTATTCTCTCCTCTGAAGCAAGTTTGTCACTCCCCCCCTCAGTGGTTTAAGGCTTTTGCTTACAATAGGAGACTCTTAGGGAAGCAGCTGAGGCTTTTTGCCTGCTTTCATCAACTCCTGCAGCCCGCATCACTGAGGAGGAAAGCTCTCTCCCATTTCCTGCGCTGCTCCCATTTTTTCTCATGAACTTCAGGGAAAGTCTATGGGGAAAAGCCTGTAAGTACACATTCCCTTGTGTGGAATAGCCTCCAGTTTTTCTAAATGCATATGCTAGTCCTTTTTTTTGGTTTCTTCTCGCCCCTACCTCTCCCACGCTCTGCTAAAGCTGATTCCATTCTTGTGTCCCTCTGTCTCCCAAAAGAGGTTTGACTTGGCTGTGTTATGACCTATTATTTCTTTTTTTTTTTTTTACCAATTTATTTATTTATGCATACAAGAACTGGGGTGTAGGCTAGAGATGCGGGAGGTGAGAGGATTCACCAGAGACAGAGTGGGGAACAGAACAGGCAGATTGACTGAAATACACTCCTGAGGGGAGCAGCGGGGAAACAGGAGAGGTCTGCTGCGCCATGGGGGTCAGCTCCCTGGCCGGGGATCGAACTCATGCTGCAGTGGCTGGCGATAGCTTGATAGCATTGTGTCCTTAACCCCTGCGCCACCAGGAATATGACCTCCTATTTCTAAGAGCTCAAGAAAAGCTATGATTTTGTAGGTTATCTGGTTAATTCTCATGTTAAGAATGAAAATGGCAGAGTCTTGAATTCTCCATCCTAAGGAGAAACCAAAATGCCCAGGTCACTACCATCTCTTTCTTGGACAACTGCAGCCACCTTGCAGCTTCTCCCTGGCTTCAATTTTATTTTCCCCCATAGGGCATTCAGCATAGTATTATAGAGAAACAAGAAGGGACTGCAAAACAAAGTACTTGAAACTAGCCTCATAAAAACTAGTCTAAAGCCCAGGTCATGGTTATCTATTGCTGAGTAATATGCTGGTTTATTAACCAACACAAAACTTGATGACTTAAATTATGTCATTTATATTGTTCATGAGCCTATTGTTCATGGGTTTTGCTGGGATAGGTCTGTTCCACTTGGTGTCATCTGGGGAAGCTTGAAGGCCAGGGCCTAAAATCACTTGGCTCACTTATACAGGCATACCTCTTTTTATTGTGTTTTGCTTTATAGGGTTTCGCTGATACTGTGTCTTTTACAAATTGAAGGTGGTGGCACAAAGATTACAACTTGCTGAAGGCTCAGATGATGGTTAGCATGTGTAATGCCAGCAAGGCACAGAGCAGGATCCTCTGTGATCCAGGCAGACAGGCAAAGGAGAGTCCTGGAGACCTCGGTGGTTTTTCAGGCTTTTATTGAGCTTTTTACACCATTTGTAGTGTGGCACCCAGGTACACGGCAAGCATGGGGGTTGGGGGGGCCAGGAGGCTGGCAGGCCTCCCAGCCCCCAGTGAATCTTCACTCTTTTTGGGCTCTCTAGCGTTCTCACGTGGCCTCTTCTCTGCTGCTGCTTCTGCTGCCATTGCTGTTTCTTCTACTCACGTTCTGGCATCCCCGTGACACCACCCTTATAAGCCCAGTCTCTCAGCCCAGGTGTGCCCACCTATGCATGCCCACACTCTACTCCAGGTGCCCGCCATCAGGCATGCATGTAGGGCCCCAGGGATATATCAATGCTGATGGTGGGAGGGTGAAAAATCCTGATAATTTTCACTTCCCCTACAGCATGTTTTAGCAGTATTTTTAAATTTAGGTATGTACATTGTTTTTGTTTAGACATGCCATTGCACTAAGCTAGACTACAGAATAGTAGAAACATAACTTTTATATGCAGTGGGGAACAAAAAAACTGTGACACTATTGTAATGTTCACTTCATTATGGGGATCTGGAACTGATCTGGCTTCCTCTCTGTGGTGTGCCTATGTGTCTGATCCCTCTGGTGGGAGTATTCAAACAGCTGGGGATTCAGGTGAATACCTCCCTCTCTCCATGACCTCTCAAGTATGGTGGCTTCAAAGCAGCCAGACCTCTTCCAGGTCAGGTCAGAATGAGCAAGGAGCAGGGAGAGACAGAGAAAGACCAGTGGAAAGTTTTTATGATCAGGCCCATGAAGTCACATTATTTGTGCTGTACTCTATTAGGAAAGGCAGTTATGCGAGTCGGCCCAGTTTCGAGAGCGATATTGACCTAGCACATACATTGAAGGAGTGTCCACATCACATTGTAAGATGAAAGTGTAGGATGTAATTTATTGATATGGCACCACTGGAAAATAAAATCTGCCATACCGAATTCTATTGACTCTTTAAGAGTGAAAAAAATAACGTCAAAGAAATCAAACTTGAAAAATGAAGGAAAATCACGAGTTCTCCAATTACATTGTTTTATGTCAACATATCACTGCCAAGTATGAATAATTTGTGGAACCCTGGTCAGTTTAATCATGTCAAGTACATGGTAGCTCTGTCCTCTATCTAGATACAAATATGAGCTGTTACTGTCCCTCTTAAAATGACCCATCTGCTCCATGTTGCCCTCAATAAATTGCAAACTTCTTAGCATGATTTATAAAGCCCATCACACCTGGCCTTGTTTATCCATCAGCAACCTCACTTTTTTTGTTTTAAAGATTTATTTATTTATGCATACAAGAACTGGGGTACAGGCCAGAGGTGGGGGGGGTGGTGAAAGGATTCACCAGAGACAGAGTGGGGAACAGAACAGGCAGATTGACTGAGGGTAGCAGCGGGCAAGTCAGGAGAGGTCTGCTGCACCATGTGGGGCACCTCCCTGGCCAGGGATCAAACTAGCGCTGCAGTGGCTGCAGATAGCTTCATAGGTTGTGCGGTCTTAACCTCTTGCACCACCAGGGAGGTCTCAACCTCACCTTTTGATGCTTCCTCCTTTGTCCTTTATGCTACAGCTACACCAGACTACTTTCTAGTCTCCAAGCTTTCTTTTGCTCTTAAGCCTTTGTTTATGCATGGCCTCATCCAGGACTCTTCTCTGTCCCCATGCCTTATCCCTAGTTCTCTGTTTGCTACTCATTTTCCTGGAATCAGCTTCTCTAATATAGCCTCTCGTCTATCCCTCACCCAGACTGGCACCCTTATGCTCAGAGCACCCTGTGCTTATGCCTAGGTCCTATAGCACTAAATAGCTAGGCCGTATCTCTCCCTCTATCATCCATCCCATGTGGGAAGACGTGGCTTTGTTTTCTTCACTACTGTGCACAGTGCCTGAAGCACAGCAGGAGTTCAACAAATATTGGTTGGATAAATGGATCTATGTCTTAAATAGCCCATTTCAGGGCTCAAGCAAACAGCTTGCCCACAAACCCAAGACTGCTATGGCAGCGCCCTCTGCTGAATCTTGTAACTGAAGTAGGGCCAAAGCTGGTTGGGATAGTTTGGAATTTGGGGGAAAATATTGACTGATTTGACTGGTGCTCCTCCCAGCCTTGAGCACTCACTCTAAGGCAGGGTCTGGATGTGGCTCCAAGGTGTCATGCCCCTTCCAGCGATAGTACTGGTTGTGGGCAGGCAAGCCTGTGAAGAACATGCTCGGCAAAGGCTGGTGGGATGTTTGTTTCCCTGCTGTGCCTACATGCAAAGCCTATTTCTGGAGCAAGTACTGAACACAAGCCTGTGCCATTCCAGCACTGCTCTTGCCAAGCCCTGAGTGATGGGCGCATGTGCCGGGAAAGAACAGTGACAACCACTTAACTGATCTCCTGGCTCCAGCCCAACCTTCTCTGGGCACACCAAGTCATCATTGCTTTGCCCCTCCTGGTAAATGCTTTTTCCAGGCTCCAAGGTTTAGCACTAAATATTGCTCCATTTGCTCTTAACTTTCTGTCTCACTAAGGACACAAGGAAGGAAGTCAGGGATGATAGGCAAGGCCCTCTCAACTCATAAACTGTATTGATTTGAGGAAGTCCTAAATTAAGTTCCTTGGGAGTTTCTAGGGTCAATAGAAACAGATTAGCAGTTTTGGTCAAAACTATTCTTTTGAAGGTTAATCCAATTTCTGTAAGGGAGGTGGAACTCAAAGAGGTCATTTGACTTATTTATGACCACACAGTGAGCCACAAGACAAAGATAGCACCCAAGACTCTTGGTTTCAAATTCAGCCCTACTTGCATGGCCTAAGTTAAATTCTTATCAATAAGTTAGCTTTAGGAAAAACATCAAATTTGTTTCAGGCAAATGGTGTTTCACCTTTTTTAAAAAGTCATCCATTCCTCAAGTTGTCATTTCTAAACCAATTAAGAAACCAGAGTTACAACTCATTGGACTCACTTCTGTGGAAATCTGTCTCACTTAAAGAGTTAAGCCAGAATGTAAGCAGAGATCTGGGGCCTTCTTCCAATACCCCATCCAGGCTTTCACATGGCACTGCAATTCTTTTAGTTTCCTCTAAATAACTCCCTACCTTTTCATACCCAAAATTCTGTTTCTTATATAGAAAATGGGAGGTAGGGGAAAGGCAAAGCTAGCATCTTGCCTAAATTATAGGAACACCTTTTCTGGTACAGAGACAGTCTTGAACCATCCTATGACCAGCTGTTCTTTGGGAGCATGTTTTGGAACTTTATGCATTTTTTCTTAAGCTGTTCTTTCAAGAAACATAATTTTTTTTTATCATTCAAGGAGAAGAAAATTCTTAGTCTCTCTTTTTTTAAAACCCTCCATCTATCCGTCAGATGGTCCTAAAGGAAGATTAAGGTCTGGCACCTGAATCCCTAGTAGAGATAGTAGCTTATAAGCTCAGGGCAGGCCCAGATGTTGTCAAGGTCTGGCTTCTCCAAAGTAGCTGGGGAATACAGAGGGCCACTATGTCAAAGCTATCCTACTAATAAAAATCAGTATGAACAACATTAACAACATTGAAAAAAAAAAAAAAAGGAAAATAGATACCTGGGAATTACTACTAAAATATTCATATATTCATATAATTAAGCAAGTATATGGAATCATCTAGTTGGTTCCCATCCCTTCCAACAAGGTAAATACTTGATTTAGAAATGAGCAAGTATTCCCTGAAGATTTTTATAGCTTCCTTGCTCAGCAATTGTGATTTGGAAAAGCTCCACGGAGCCATAGCCTCAGAATCCTACCCTCAGACACTGAGGATTGGCCTCTCATAGGGCATGTGTTGAAAACAGAAGGCCGGCAAGGGTTACCAGCCTCCCTGTAATGGCATGCATTTGTCTTTACCTGCTCCCTGCCTGGGAGCCTCTCTCTGGTGGGAATCAGGTCAATAGCACCACACACACAGCTATTCTGATGAGAAAAGCTTTATAGGGACAATACAGACTGAATAAGAACAACATAAACAACGAGGAAAACACAAGCTCAGCCAGGAATGCCGCCACCAACAGAAGCTCGGAGCTATTCAGGAGTGGTGTCAAATACTAACTCCATATTGACAAGCCTGATTTCGAACCTGGATCTATTAAGTGCAGGAGGAAGTTGGGGAAGAAACCATGCATGGAATACAAAAATGTATAGATATCCACAAGGAAACACCCACATTTTCATAATTCCTGTGTCACTTTCCCCGCACATGGAACAAATCAAAGGGGGAGCACAGGCTCTTTTTCTAAAGTCCCTGTATTTCTTACGGATGGACTTGTTAGAGAAGCCCCAGAGGGGACTTGGAATCAAGCACGCAGACTTCACTCTCCTTGGGTCCACTCGCCCCTCACCATTTACCAAGGAAATGTCTGGGACAGAGAGGGGAACATCCAGGAGAGGCAAGAAAACACAGGGCTCCCTTTTATACACACCACACACAAGGGCTGCATTTCTCCAAATACTTTCTCACTTGGACCTTCACTAGATTCTTAGCAGACTTCTCCCCGAAAGGAGCAGAACCCAGCCAAGCCGTGAGACACAGAGGAAGGCAGTGTTTTGACGTAACCCACACTGGGTCAGTCCTTTATCCGAGGTCATCACACAGGCAGGCCCCATGCAAGTCCTTCGAGGCCTGCAGCTGTTTGCTTTGTGGAGTGGAAAAGTTGGGCTTTTTCCTTCCCTAGATTTCACCGTGCTGCTGCTGCTGCTGCTGAGCTCACCGCTGCTCCCTCCAGACCCGAGACAGCTGCTCAGTGTGTGTGGAATTTATTGTTCCGCTGCTGCTGCCTGGTCCCTGGCCTCTGGCTTCTCGACCTGTGACTCTGGAGGAATCAGATACTGGACCTCTTCTGTACTGATGGCTACTTTATCTGGCTGGAGCCACCTCTTGAAATGTTCTAAGGTGCTAGAAGAGAGTAGGAGAAAAGGGAGGGCTGCATCAGACCTCGATGATTAATCACTTAATGATTAACTCAGTTTCTCAAATATGCCTTCCCACCCACCTCCAATTTCTTCCTACAATTGCTTTTCAGGGTAAACATGGGGAGAATGATACTCCTATGACAGCTGTGCATCCTGGCAGCTCTAAGGCATAATTTACCCCCTGGTGGGCACTTTGGCTATAAGCAGCAGGAGGCCCCCTTCAAATGCAGACCCTCTGAAGGCTTGACAAGAATAGCTAAAGAGGGGCCTCCCTGGTGGTGCAGCGGTTGAGCACTGGGTTGTGAAGCTGCCCACAGCCTCTGCAGCGCAGGTTAGATCCCGGGGACGCCTGGACAAGGGTCCCACATGGTGTGCAGACCTCTCCTGCCACCCGCTGCTCCCCTCAGCAGTGTACTAAGTCAGTCTGCCTGTTCTGCTCTCTGCTCTGGCTCTGGTGAATTCTTTTACCCTCCCTCGCTTCTGACTGTACCCAGTGCTTATATAAATAAATAAATCAATCTTAAAAAAAAAAAAAAACCTGCAAAAGTTAAAAAAAAAAAAAAAAAAGGATAGCTAAAGAGCTTATGCCTCAGTCCTGTCTTTTTTCCCTCAAAACTGGAGAGGAGAAATTGTCAAGGGAAAGAAACATTCAAATAAATACCAAACTATTAGTGAGGCAGAAAACTGGGCATCTTGAAATTTCTCATACCTGAGGTAGGCTGACTCAGTTATACTTATAGTACTTAGTTTCATTAAGCACAATATTTCTATTTGGGGTTGGGGGATTGGGCTTGTGGGTTTTTATTTGTTTAGTTCATTCAATAGCAAGTCCCCAAGATAGAAACATCTGAGCAGCAATTTCCCCACAAAGAATTGGCCACTATGCCAGAAGCCTTGGTTTTTGCTAGGCTCTGTGGGGAAGGAGGGAGTACTCTCCTCCCATCTTCCTTAAATATCCAGGACGTTCCACTCAGAAGCTATTAAATACTCACAGTAAACTATAAATGACTGGAAATAATGTATTCTATGCTCATTCTATGCTCTTCCATAGCACAAAGTCTTAAGCCAAGAAATAAAGCCATCATCAGCATATCTGAGACACCTGTCAGTGCATGGAGGCATCACATGTGGGCAGCTGAATTTCTCAGTCCATTACTCCCTTACCAAAAAGCATACCATGGCAGGGGTGGGGTGTCACCTATCTGGGCTTCACATATGTGAAGAACCACATAAACCCATTACAAAATGGCTTCTGTTTAAAACATGAAATTTGAAGTTTGAAAACAAATGCATGTCTACTGTTAGCAGGCTTGTTGTGAACAAGGAGAGAAAGAAGCATTCCCACAGTTAGTCTGGGGGACTTGGGGACAACACTGGCATTTAAACTTCATCTACCACCCCTTTAAAATAACTGTTTCAATTATTTCTCTAAAGAAGGGAAAAACACATTATTTTAGGTACTGATAAATACACAGAAATGTTAACTTGAGTCTTGGTGCTGACTTGATTATGGAGAGAAAGAATTCCTACTTAAGAATTAAGCAGAGTGGGGCTCCCGTGGTGGCGCAGCGGTTGAGCACTGGGCTGTGAAGCTGTCAGCTGCCTCTGCAGCACCGGTTCGATCCCCGGCTGCCTGGTGAGGGTCCCACATGGTGCGACAGACCTCTCCTGCCATGCCCGCTGCTCCCTTCAGCAGTGTATTTTGTCAGTCTGCCTGTTCTGTTCCCCGCTCTGGCTCTGGTGAATTCTCTCACCCTCCCGCACTTCTGACTGTACCCAGTGCTTGTATAAATAAACCTTAAAAAAAAAAAAAAAGAATTAAGCAGAGTAAGTTTTGTCTTTTCTTGTCAGAACTGGTGAGGAGGAAAAGGGGAGAGAGGGGAGAGAGAATACAATGGGGAGAGAAAATATATTCAAGGGGAGAGAGAATACAATGCCAAATTATTAATGGGTCAGGAATCATGCTTCTTCAAGTCTCTTATATTTGGAGCATTTTAAAGTTCAGTTAGGTTAAACTTTAAGGTCAACTTGACCTCAGATGGCACAATGATTTCTAAAGGATCTGAGGGCACACCCATCAACAAATAGTTGAATAGTAGAGATAATGCAAATGCAGTACTTTGCAAATTAAGTAAAATGTAACTGTAAAGTTTTATCCAAGTGCAGTCCATAGAGTTGCCATGGGACTCTCAAAATATGATATGTTGCAAACTTGGGTTAAATCATATTCCCCTCCCACCTTCTGTTAACATTCAGGTTTTTACTCCTCCCACCGATTTTCATTTGGAATAATTTCTTCCTGAACTTTAAAATTCTGTTAGGAAGAATAATATTAATAATAACTAATGCTAATATAGTACTTACCCTGTGTCAGGTACTGTTCTCAACTGCTTTACATAGTATAATCCTAATAACAACCTGATGAGGTAAGAGCTACTCCTCCCATTTTATAGAGTAGGAAACTGAGCACCCAGATGTTACTTACACATGAAAACAAAACCAATAAGTGGCAGAGTCATTTTCCTGAATGCCAAGCACCAGCCTGCTCTTTGTGGCAGCATGCCCTTCTTTTCCCATCTGATCATCTGCAGGATCTGTTCAAATTCTGCCTCCTTCCCTACACAAATGCTAGAGCCTAAAGGGAACTCCCTGGTCTCTCAACTCCTAAAGCACATTCTGTCACATCTGCTCATCTGCCTCTCATGCCGCTTTGTATTGTTAGGTGAACCTTTACATATATTTTTCATCCTATTTCTAAGGATGAAAATAGAGTCCAAAACTTCCTTCTATCTCCCCTCCACATGCCACCTTGCCCATCCTACCCCATGACACCTAGTACAGTGCCTTCACACAGTAGATGCTTAAGAAATTCATTCATTTAGACTACACAAATTTGAGTGGCTACACTATGACAGAACTGGCAAGCAGAGGTAAGATGACATAGTTCCATGTTGACTGATACTTCCTCAAGTGCATTGTGTACTTGAAAAAAAAAGAAGACAATGGTTTATCTTCAACTTTGTTCAATCTGTGATCAAAATATAAATGGGTTATTTACCTTTTGGCAAAAATAACTATTCTCAAAATTCTGCTGCTGCTGGAATAAGGGCAAATAGATGGATCTTATACAGTATGATTTCAGCTCAGAAAAGCTGATGCTAATAACAACTAATATCTGGACTCAGATGTCACTCTTCCTGAATTCTTTTTTTTTTTTAAAGATTTATTTATTTTTGCATACAAGGGCAGGGGTGTAGGCCAGAGGTGTGGGGGGTGAGAGGATTCATCACAGACAGAATGGGGAGCAGAATGGGCAGACTGAAAGACACTGCTGAGGGGAGCAGCAGGCAAGACAAGAGAAGTCTGCTGTGCCATATGTGGTTCAGCTCCCTGGCCAGGGATCAAACTCGTGCTGCAGTGGCTGTGGATAGCTTCAGAGTGCTGAGACTTAACCTTCTGCGCCACCCGGGAGGCCCCCTCCCTGAATTCCTTTGAGAGAGAGAAATGGTCTTAGTGGAACAGTCACCTGGAACTGGCCTGGGAATCAATTACCTCTCATCAGAGTCAAGTCCATCCACAAAGAATTCTGATGCTAGCTTCTCCTGGAGGAACCGATCCCAGCATTCCTTCTTGGCTTGGGCCAGGGTTCGGAGCATGTCTTTAGAAGTTACTTCCTGATTTAAACCTTTGATTCTTCTCAGTTTCTTCTCTAAAGAAAGAAGTAAAGCTTAGCAAGGAAAGTGAGTATAAAACCAAACTGAATCTAAAATATAAAATGCCAGCTTTAAAAGTCTATCACTTGGGAAAAAAAAAAAAAAAAAAAAAAGTCTATCACTTGGCCTCCCCGGTGGCGCAGCGGTTGAGTGTTGGGTTGCGAAGCTGCCCGCGGCCTCTGCAGCGCCGGTTCGATCCCCAGCTGCTCCCCGGCCACCGGAGGAGGGTCCCACATGGTGCGCAGACCTCTCCTGCCACCCAATGCTCCCCTCAGCAGTGTATTTCGGTCCTTCTGCCTGCTCTGCTCCCTGCTCTGGCTCTGGTGAATTCTCTCACCCTCTGCGCTTCTGACTGTACCCAGTGATTGTACAAATAAATAAATAAATCTTAAAAAAAAAAAAGTCTATCACTGATGAGTACATCATACTCCCTGCAGAAAAAGTCATTTTTTTAAGGCAATATGAGGAAATGTATATTTTTCTATTTCCTTCATAATATCTTCACTCAGCATTGAATCAAATAAATCTCTAGACCCAGAAAAGAGTGATAGGTTTTCATAAATAAATTGTTGGCATATTTTCTTTGAAATCACAGAAGCCCAGTAGGTATGTCTCTAAAGAATTCTGGTTTTCCCTGGTTTGACATGTGTAGCCTATCGCCTCTTCTTCATTCTCTGAGAATAGTCTCTCTGAGGAGTAAATGGATTTTTTTTTTTTGTCATAGTGACATGAACTGGTTTTCAAACCTCATGAGAAAGATGACAAGAGAGCCAATGGTTCATTAAACACTAAAACTGACTTGATGAGAACTCAATAATAAGAAACCCTTAAGATCTCTGTGATTAAATTCTTGATTAAAAAAAGAAATCTCCCAGCATTTTTGAAAATTGTTCAACTTATGGCCTGGATGGTCAAGTCTAATAAAAACAAACATCTTGTCATCCCTTTGAGAGTAGTACATCTGGCTTACTGATGATAGATGTTTAATTATTCTTCTTTGCATTTTAAGTATAATTGTTAGACAGATTTCCCCTTTTGAGGAAAATAAGGACAAGTATCACCATTTACCTTTTGCCTTAATTTAGTCTTGTCCTCAACTAAATAATTAGGTGACTAATGGCTTTGTGGGGGGAAGGGAAGCAATAGAAACTTGATGATTTGCAACCCTGTTTTCATTTCTAAGCAACCACATCAGCTAGCACCCACTGATCAAAACAATAAACATCTTTTGTTGCTGCAGGTTACCACCAAGAGCTCAACCATGTAACAAACCTGGAGTTTATAAAAGCATTTTCTCCTTGGGGATATGAAAAGTTATGTATATCTCTCAAGTTGAACCAGGTATGTTTTTAACTGTTGCTCTTATCAGTGAATTCTCATTGACATGGGTTTATTTGGAAATAAAAACAATCTTTATATTGTCTGACCTTGGTTGTCAAGGTGTAAAGTACTCATTTGGCCTCGGAGAGGTCTACCCCACTCTGAGTGTGCTGAGTCCGATCAGGTACAATCTAAGTAGAGCCAGCAGAAACCAGTGCCATTATAGTACTCAAATCCTGCCTGCCATTGTCTCCCAGATTCTGTCATAGACAACATAAACAGCTTCTAGCTTCCTCAGAGAGAAAATTGTAATCATCTTCTGAACTGATTTTAGAAAAGATCAGTGAGGTTTTAATTTTCTGAACCAGTCTTCATCTATCAAAGTCATCACTGAATTCATGAAAGTCCATGTTCTGGGTACAGAGCAACAAGGCTAAGAATCTACTTCCATTTTCTCAGATAGTTGTTTCTTCTCTTTGTCATCATTAAGCAGATGTTCTGGCTACCACAAAACAGAAATGTTAACCTCCCAGCCAGGGCTGCAAACATTACTTTCTTATCTTTGGTGGCTTCCTGACAGCTTTCATATTAGCCCTTCATCCTTCTCATTATCCATTCCAACAGTTTTCTCATATTTTTTCCCTTCTAGAATATCATCAACAAAATTCCTTTCATTGTTCCAAGCTTCCTAGCAATGATGCTTGACTCTTCTTTCTGTCTTTCCTTAAAAATGTCTCCTTCCTGAGATGCCTTTTTTCCCTCAAGTAATTGGTTTTGTGACAGATATCTAGTCTGTTTAATAAGAGGATACCAAAATTCTAGAGACTGGCTTTCACATCTCTGCCCTAACTCTATGAAGATGGCAGTCAGCTTAAAAAAAAAAAAAAAAAAAGAATGAAAAATCACTGCCCTAGACTAATATTTCTCTTTCACCTAGCATGAGACAATCTGGATCTCTTTCCTGTGTTTGGAATCTCTCTAGATCTTTTCACTTAAGGCCTCAGAACAGGACAATGAAGATGTGTTCAAGAAATAAAAAAAAAAAAAAAATTAAACAGTTAACAAGGAACAAAATGAATTTTACATTCACATGTTCCCATTCCAACAATGTTTACTGTAACAGTTTTTCAAATTATAGCTTCAGAAATCCACATGTAGCTCTAGGGTCATGACCTTTTATATCAAGAATCTTAACTATAAGGGCCACCAATAGTAGGCAAGAGGCTTTACAAATGCAAAGAAATAAAGCAGAGGTTAGAAGAAACAATCAGAGGCAAGAGATGACAACTGTTTTAAGGGATACACAAGGAAATGGGGGCTCCTCACCAACAAAGAACCTGAACCACCTACCTCCCCAGCAGGCCCCCCCACCCCACCCCCCGCCATTATATGTGACAGATCCATGTGGTACAGACCAAAAAATAAAGAAATTAAGGAAAGAAAACCAGATTTGATGTAACATAACTTCGAGTTACCTTAAAACTACCAGTTTCTCATTTTTTAAAAAATCACCTAACAGGGCCTCCCTGGTGGCCTACAGGTTAAGTCTCAGCGCTATCATCACCACAGTCTGAGTTCAAACCCGGCCAAGGAGCTAACCCACATGTGGTGCAGCAGACCTCTCCTGTTTCACCCGCTGTTCCCCTCAGCAGTGTACAGTAAATTGCTGCTCTGGTCCCCACTCTGTCTCTGGTGAATCATCTCACCTCCTGCATCTCTGGCCTATACCCAGTTCTTTTGCACAAAAATTTAAAAAGAAAAAGTCCACCTAACTCACCTAAAGATGCTAAATACACTTCTGAATCCTGCAAAGGAGCCCAAGGCTTTACAGCTGTCTGGACAGCAAAGTCTGGGGCCTCCCTCTGGCCTTCATCTACAGGGAAATAATCCATAAAAGAGTCTGAGAAGGCATTGTTGGCACCATCCTCTTGGTCAGGATTTGGCAGACAGGAACAGATTTCAGCCCAAAGATCCAGGCCAGATCTTGTGGCTGCTGAGTCAATGCTCTCAAACATTTTCATTTGGAATTAAGCTGAAAAACAAAAGTTCAAGTGAGTAAACACTGGCTTTAAGGATATATTATAGGTATTCAGTACTCAGATACTTATTTATCCATTGAAAGAAGATAATAGGCTTGTAAGAAGTTTCTCTTGACAACATTTAAAATGACTATTGGGTTCCCTATGTAAGAGATAACAAGGTGATAAAAGGAAGTTGGGGTCCTCTTCTAGCTCTGCACTCAAGTTGTTTTCATAATGAAATTTGTCTTTAAAAATGGAATTTCTATGAGCCAGACACAGAAGGACAAATGTTGGCTGATCACACTTTTATGAGATACCCACAGTGGTCAAATTCAGGGATACAAAGCAAACTCATGGTTGCCAGGGTTTGGGGGAGGAAGGAAATGGAGAATTAGTGTTTAATGGGCACAGAGTTTCAGTATGGGAAGATGAGAAAGTTCTAGAGATGAAAGGTTGCAATGGGACTGTCACTGAATTATACATTTAAAAAGGGTTAAAATGGGCCTCCTTGGTGGTGTAGTGGTTGAGCGCTGGGCTGTGAAGCTGCCAGCAGCCTCTGCAGCTCCAGTTCGATCCCCGGCCACCGGTGAGGGTCCCACATGGCACACAGACCTCTCCTGCCGCGCCCGCTGCTCCCCTTAGCAGTGTATTTCATCAGTCTGCCTGCTCTGTTCCCCACTCTGGCTCTGGTGAATTCTCTCACCCTCCCACACTTCTGACTGTACCCAGTGCTTGTATAAATAAATAAATAAATCTTCAAAAAAAATTTAAAAAAATGGTTAAAATGATAAAGTTTACATTATGTTCCAGAACACACAAGAATTTCAGATTTCTACTGAGAACAGATATTCTGTACTTTTCTCCAAAATGCAACTGCGCTGTCTTCTGCCAATTAAATGTTTGTCTTCCACAGGGCACTGACTAGGGGTCTTGCACAGTTCTGTACACATGAAGAAAATAAAAGTGCTGCTTGGAGAGAGAAGCATCTATCAGAGAGTGCTGTCATATACAAAGGCCCATGCGCTCATTACATGTAGGTGCTGTGCTAAATGCCTCATGTTCTTATTTTAATAGTCAGAAATACTGAAAAACAGACAGTGAAATCATTTTACAGATGGTGGTCTGTAACGGTCACTCTCTGGTCTTAAAGGATGGGTTGACACATTCTTTCAGGAGGGACCTCCCAGATTAGGAAGACTTGCCTGGCAAAAGGTATGGGTGGGTAATTGTAGGGAAAGGCTCAGCCAGCCCAAGGGCCGCAAGTAAAATGTCAGCTATGTCAAGGAGGCCCTGGTGAATTGCTCCCAAGGGCCACAACGAGCCCGTGGCCCCATCCCCAAGACGTTCGAATCTACCGAAAGCAAAACTTTGCTTCTATGCCTGGGTCGCCCCCAATCCCACCCTCCGGTAATTCCAAAACAGCGCAGGAAATCCTGGTGTCCAGATTCTGGGCCACAGCCATCTGGCCTCAAGGTCTGGCTGGGAGCGATGAGTATTGCCTCCAGGCTTCTCAGCGGCATTTCAGGTTAGACCCAGAGCCCAGGACACAAACTGAAAATGCTAGGCACCCCGCACCCCCGTCTCACCTACCGCAACCGCCTGCCCTGCAGCCAGCAAACCGCTGGGTTCAGCTCTGTCGCCGGCAGCCAAGATGAAACTGGAGGCGGAGACTCTGAGTGACAGATCCCGGGAGTTCTCCAATCACAGACTGACCTGGAGATATTCTGTGCGCCGATTGGTTGCTTGGAGGTCAGCTGGTTGAGGAAGAGCGGCGCATTGAGGAAGCGGCGGGCGGGACTTTCGTTGCCAGGAAACGGCGGAGTCACGTGCCCTGGGCCCCGCCTCCCCTGCGACCAGGCTGATTTCCTCTTATCAGCGACTTCCAGGCGCGTGGACAGCGCCCGCCACTCAAGCCCTGCTCTGATAGGCCAGTTTCCATAAACCTTTGACTTTTCTTGGTTCCCCGAGCAAGTTGACTTCCTCGTCAATTTTGTGGGTCGAAAACTTCAGCGCTTCGGTACCCAAGTAAGAGCACTTTGGCGGCTCAGATGGTGAAGGAGGTGACTTGTTTCCTTACTCTCGCAGGAATAATGAAACTTTCCTTCATTCTTTTAGTCCATATACTCCAAGTTCTTGTTCTGTTCTAGGCATTGTGTTAAGCGAGAATTCTAGACAGTTAAGACTTGATATGAGTCCCTGAGGTTTTTACAGCGAAGGGCAGGAGGTTGTGTCATTGGGGCAGACAAGTTTACAAATAACAACAATGAGTTATAGAGAATCTGATGAATATGTGGCCAGAGTACATGAAGGAGTGAGTGGTCGGATATGGAAGATATGTGTGTCACAAACCCTTTTTTAGAAATCACCTTGGTTATCCTTCAAGAGTTATCAGTTCGCTGAGGTGAAACCCCTCCTCTGACTCCTCCCTCCAACTTTCAGGGCCCCTTACTTTCTCCCAAAAAAATATGCAAAGAAAGACATCAGCCAGCCATCTGTAGAAGTAACTTTGCAGAGGATATCTCTAAATGTGTCCAAAGCCGACCAGTGGTGTTAACGGTGGTAATAACTACCACCATGTGAAAGGGGCTTCCAGATTTTCCGTTGTTCACATTTATAACCACTCTTAGAAAGAATATGCAAACAGAAGGAAGAGGAAAGTAAGGATTTTAGAAAATTAAGGAGCAAATAATAGGCATGATTTTTTAAATTTCTATTTCTTTACATATGCATACAAGAACTGTGGGTGTAGGCCAGAGGTGCAAAGGGTGAGAGGAATCACCAGAGACAGAGTGGGGAGCAAAACAGGTAGATCTACTGAAATACACTGCTGAGGGGAGCAGTGGGTGAGACAGGAGAGGTCTGCTGTGCCATGTGGGTTAGCTTCCTAGCCAGGGATTGAACTCATGCTGCAGTGACTGACAACAGCTTGATAGCACTGAAACTTTAAACCCCTGTGCCACCAGGAAGGCCCAATAGGCACGATTTTTGACAGTGCTTATTCATAAGAAATAAATAAAGGGGACAGGGAATTCCCAGAGTCCTCAAACTATCTCTGAACCTGGCAGCAACTAATTAATAGAAAGGGGCACTGTGGTAAGTTTATAGGTGTTTCATCAAGCAACTCCATGGCTTTTCAACTCACTTAGACCTATTCTCTGATTTCCTTCTCACCAAACTCTTGATTTCAAATTTAGATTCTTGAATATCTTGAAGCCAGGATAAGGGCGGCTTTAGCAGTCGGCATAAATAGTCACCAGTATAAAATGGAGTATACTTGATAACTTAAAGTTACCAATTCACCCACATCTTCTGAGTTTAATCTGTGTGTGTGCTGAATAAATCCAAAAAAGATCTTGGACTTGCAAATTTGAAACTATGGCTATGATGATCTTCTTCTCCCTGAGGGTTGCTCACACGGGGAAGCCACATGAGAGTAGTCAGCACTTTACTCTACTTTAGATTCTCTGCTCTAACTGCATTATCATTGCCACGAATATGTTTTTTTTTTTTAATTTTTTCCTCAACCAGCCTAGGCCTTCATTGAGATCTAAAATTGTGTTTTTCTTATCTCCATGTCTTCAGGGCCAAGTAATGCCTAGTGAATTTTCAAAATTTGGTGTATGAATGTTTCAGTTACAATCATCATGACCACACTGAACTGGAGCTAGAACTAGTGATTCCCTCTTCTGTCCCTTCTCCATATTGTACCAGAGTGATCCTTTTGGGATGGAGATCACACATTCACACATGTACCAAGAAATATGATGATTTTCCATTGTACTTAAAGACTTAAATATTCATCCTAGTGATTAGTTGGGGTTCTGAGCTCAAACGGAACTCATTCTAGCCATTTTAGGCAGTAAAATGAATTGATTAAAACACCTCTGGCCAATAGAACTTTCTGTGATGATAGAAATATTCTGTATCTGAGCAATCCAATGAGGTAGCCCTAGCATTATGTGGCTCTTGATTCTTGAAATGTAGCTTGTTTTAAATTTTATTTCCTTTTAATAAATTTAAATTTTTTTTGTTATTTTCTCTAATAGCTTATTTATCGACACAACACATTTCTTTTTCAGTTTTTTTAATTTTTAAGTTTCTACTTTTTAAATTGTTATTTTTATATTAATTTTTAAAATTTTTACATCATTGTTCACTTTTAAACAATATTTGCTTCCCCACCCCCTCAGGTGTAGTCCCCATAGAGTTTCCTTCCCCAATGCACCTGTGCACCATCACCTCAGTCCCCTGTGCTCCTCCCTCCCTCCCCTCCCTCCCTCTGATCCCTCTCCCTCCTCCTCCCCTGCAGCATGTCTCTGATTTATAATTGTCCGTTTTTGCAACTCAGCTCTTTTAATTCATCTCTTTCAATTCACTCCCGCACTTCCTCCCGTCGCTGTCCCAGTCTGGATTCCGGGCCTTGTTGATTGGCTGGCGAGGAGTGACGTCCTCAGGTCGCGACCCTGGCGCGCCGCCCGCGTGGTTGGTTATGTGGTCGGGCGTCCGCTGCTGGCTCCCAGTTCTTGAGCGAGGGTTCCTCAACCTCCGGCGCCAGCACTTTGCTAGCACTTGGGGTGTTCTTAGGGGCCCGATGGCTGAAACACTCTCGACTGAGACCCAGGCAGCGAGCGAGCTGAAGGTTCCGGCTCAGCAAAACGGAGACACGCGTGGCGATCCGAGGGCTGCACAGCCCCCTGGCAGCCCAGAGCAGGCGGGCCAGGGAGTGGAGCCGGCCCCAGGGAATGGGAAGCAGGTCTCAGGGAGCGGGGAGCAGGCCCCAGGGAGCGGGGAGCAGGCCCCGGCTGCAGCTGTGGGCCCTAGCAAGCGGAAGAAGAGGCGGGGCGCAGCCGGGGAGCGCGTAGTGCCGCCCCCGAAGAAGCGGCGAGCTGGGGTGAGCTTTGGCGATGAGCACTTTTCAGAGACCAGCTACTACTTCGAGGGAGGTCTGCGCAAAGTGCGACCCTATTACTTTGACTTCCGAACCTACTGCAAAGGCCGCTGGGTGGGCTACAGCTTGCTGCACGTCTTCAGCACTGAGTTCCGAGCCCAGCCCCTTGCCTACTACGAGGCCGCGGTCCGAGCTGGGCGCCTGCACCTCAACGAAGAGCCAGTACAGGACCTCAGCATTGTGCTCAAGGTGGAGTCCTGAGGGGCTAGCTGGAAACAATCGAGGAAAGGGGGGGAGGGGGGACAGGGGTCCTCCAGAGTTGGAAGGGCACAGGTACTGGAGTAAAAACGAGGTAATTCGGAAACGGAGCTCCTGTCTTTTAGACCCGCCCCCGTTTTTGACAGTATACAGCTTCTGTGCTTCAATACTAAGTCCTTTTATCCCCTTTATCAAGACGGCTTCCTTGTTAACAAGAAACAAGTCGGAATTTTCACCTCCACCGATCATGTAGCACTACCACTGATCACTTTCTAATTTGCATTATAGATCTCTGTGCAAATAATAATAATAGAGGCTATCACGTCTTCTTACTGTGAGCTGGGCACAGAGGAAAGCATTTTATACACTTGAACATTTAATTCTAACGACAACCTGTGAGATAGGTATTTCCACAACATTTTACCTGTGAGAAAACTAACAAAGCCACCAGGTAAGGCAACAGTGCCACCACCAAAACCAATTTTCTAACAAATGTTACTTAAATTATTTATGATAGAGACTGATATGATAGAATTGTGAGATGTCAGTGATACTAGAATTGTCTAGCACACTGTTTTGACCCTTTAAAATTCCATCACAGCTAAAAAGTACCAGACGCCACTGTCAGTAACATTGGCTCATCACAATTGTGAGGGGTGACAAGGCAATTTCAACATTTCAGGAATGGTGGTTTGATTCTCTTCTCTCATCTTAATTTTGAGAGGCACAAGTCTGGACTAACCCTCACATTTTACAGATAAGGAAATTGAGGCCCAGAATAGTTAAGTGACTTACCCAAGAGCATGCAGTGAGTTTGTGGCAAATCCAGGACTAGAATCCAGATCTCTGTACTATTAGTTCAAATTCTAAGTGATTTGTGAAGGTTTTTCCCTCAATTTTATTTTATTTTTAAATGATTTATTTATTAATTTATGCATACAAGAACTGGGTGTAGGCCAGAGGTGAGGAGAGTGGTGAGAGGATTTACCAGAGACAGTGGGGAGCAGAACAGGTGGATCTACTGAAATGCACTGCTGAGGGGGGCACTGGCAAGACAGGAGAGGTCTGCTGCGCCATGTGTGTTAGCTTCGTGTCCAGGGATTGAACTAATGGCATTTAGCAGGTGATAGCATGATATGCCTGAGACTTTAACCCCTGGGCCACCAGGGAGGCTCTTTCCCTCCATTTTAGAAAAATATACTGTTTAAATATAAGTTTATTGTAGAAAAAATACAAATAAGCAAACCCAAAAACATCCATAATCCTGCCACCCAGAGACATCGCCATTAACATTTGGGGTATATCCTAGTACTTTTCATGCTTGTTCTTTGCCTGTGTGTCTTGCTGTATTTTTACAAAATGAGAACATACTATGCACACTACTTTTTTATACTTACGGATATACTGTGACCAGTCTTCCAGATCAATAAGAAACAGGAAGTGTGTGTGAAGTTGACCAAAACAGGTTGCTGGCTTCTGGACTGACTGGCTTCCTCTTTCATTGACAGGACAATGACTTCTTGCGGAACACAGTGCACAGGCATGAGCCACCAGTCACAGCAGAACCTATTCGCGTACTAGATGAAAATGAAGACATGGTGGTTGTAGATAAGCCTTCTTCCATTCCTGTCCACCCCTGTGGCCGATTCCGGCACAATACGGTCATCTTCATCCTGGGCAAAGAGCACCATCTCAAGGAACTGCACCCATTGCATCGGCTGGATCGCCTCACCTCGGGCGTGCTCATGTTTGCCAAGACTGCAGCAGTCTCAGAGAGAATTCATGAGCAAGTTCGGGACCGGCAGGTGAACCATGCATTTATCTCCTGCAGGCCACTTTCTGGGCTCACGAATATTTTGTGTCAAAAGGGCACCAGTGAGTTCTAGATCTATAATGAGCCTTCATGTTTATCTGGCCAACCTTCTTACCTCCAGGAAGGTCAAATCTAAAGTACCAAAGGCAGGTTTATTATCTCAGGTTTCAAAAGATCTTTAGAGGTGGCATTTACTGCCTCTCTTAGTGGTTTGCTTTTTTGAAGTTTTAAAATGCTGATTAAGCAAGATGTTTTTAAAAATTTATTTATGCGTACAAAAACTGGGGTATAGGCAAGAGGTGCGGGGGGTGAGAGGATTCACCAGAGACAGAGTGGGGGGCAGAACAGGGAGATCTACTGAAATCACTGCTGAGGGGAGTAGTAGGTGAGACAGGAGAGGTCTGCTGTGCCATGTGGTTTAGCTCCCTGGCCGGGATCAAACTCATGCTGCAGTGGCTGGCCATAGCCTGATGGTGCTGAGACTTTAACCCCTGCGCCACCAGGAAGGTCCCTAATCAAGACGTTTTAGATTGTGCAAAGAATCTAATTGGTGGAAAAGATTCTAGGTGAAATTGGAATAGACTTGGGTGGAAAAGTTAAGTGGTAGTGATTTTAAGTCTAGATCTGTTTATTGCATGCTTGCTGTATACCAAGTTAAGTACCAAATACATTAAGAGCCTAATTTACAATCCTTCTAACAGCCTTAGGAGGTAAATGCTTTTCTTTTTCTTTTTTTTTTAAGTTAATTATTATTTAATACTCTTTAAAACATTAGGAACATTAAGAATTATATTTCTTCATAACATATATTATGGGTTAATAATAAAGACTATTGCCATAGTCTTTGCCATTTCATTATATAATACATAATGAAGCAGATAACTTTCATTTTCCTCTCAAAGTTTGTATGAGCTTCCAACATTTGATAAGTGCTTTTCTAATCTCACATTTTCTAGATAAGTTAATGGATTTTAACAAGGCTAGATAATGGACCCAGGATCATGCAGCTGCCAAGTGCTGGCACTGGGGTTTGAATCCTCTTCTGTCTGACACTGGTACATTTCTCATCACTGCAGAGTCTTGGCTTTATAAATTTAGACTTTGTGTTTTCTCCCACTTGCCTGCTGTGTAGCTGGAAAAAGAGTACGTGTGCCGGGTAGAAGGGGAGTTCCCCTCGGAGGAAGTGACCTGCAAGGAACCCATTTTGGTGGTGTCTTATAAGGTAGGCGTATGCCGCGTAGATGCCCGGGGCAAGCCCTGTGAGACAGTGTTCCAGAGACTGAGCTACAATGGCCACTCCAGTGTGGTGCGATGCCGGCCACTCACGGGCCGCACCCACCAGATCCGAGTCCACCTCCAGTTCCTGGGCCACCCCATCCTCAATGACCCCATCTATAACTCAGCTGCCTGGGGCCCCTCCCGAGGCCAGGGCGGGCACATTCCCAAGACAGATGAGGAACTGCTGCGGGACCTGGTAGCAGAGCACCAGGCTAAACAGAACCTTGATGTGCTAGATCTCTGTGAGGGTGACCTGTCATCAGGACTCACAGACTCTGCGGCTCCCTCCTCAGAGCTGGGCAAGGACCACCTCGAAGGGTTGGCTGCATTTGCCCAGAAGATGGACGGAGCAGTTGAGGCAGCTCCTCAGAATCTAGACACAGTGACTTTGGCACCAGGGAAGACAGCTGAAACCAATGTTGCAAATCAAGAGACAGACCCCCTCTGTTCAGAGTGCCGGCTGCTGCGACAGGACCCCTTGCCCCAGGATCTGGTGATGTTCTTGCATGCCCTGCGCTATAAAGGGCCGGGCTTTGAGTATTTTTCACCCATGCCTGCCTGGGCACAGGATGACTGGCAAGAAGACTGAAGAGTGGAGAGAGTGCTTCTTCCATGAAACAGGGATGGGCCTTGGCATAGGAGCTGACCACATGGACTGGTACTCAGGGTTTCCACAGGAGAAAGGTTGGGCTCCAAATAGACCCGCTCATACTTGATAGCTCCTTTCTTCCTCTCCCTCCAGCTAGAGCTTAGGGACTTTTTGGTTTATAAATATATAATTTTTTTCTGTCATTTGGGCTTCTTACTGCTTGTTTCTTTTTTCTTTCCTTTTTTTTTTTTCTAAAATGTATACATTTAGTGCATTCACAGAGTGGTGTAACCACCACCTCTTACTGAATTTCAAACATTTTCATCACCCGAAAGAAAACTCATATCCATTAAACAGTCACTCTCCATTTTCCCTCGCTCCCAGCCCCTGGTAACCAATCTATTTACTGTCTCTGTGGACTTATCTGGACATTTCATATAAATGGAATCATAATATGTGACCTTTTGTGTCTGCTTTCACTTAACATAATGTTTTCAGGGTTTGTCCTATTGATCAATTTACAGCATGTGTAACTACTTCATTCCTTTTTTTTTTTCAAAGATTTATTTATTTATGCATATAAGAACCAGGTACAGTCCAGAGGTGCGGGGGGCGAGAGGATTCACCAGAGACAGAGTGGGAGACCAGAACAGGCAGTTCCACTGAAACACACTGCTGAGGGGAGCAACAGGTCGAAGCAGGAGAGGTCCGCTGCACCATGTGGTCTCTCCCTAGCTGGCCGGGAATCGAGGGAATCAAACTCTGTGCTGCAGTGGCTGGCAGCAGCCCAACAGTGCTATCTTTAACCCCTGCACCACCAGGAGGTGTTCCACTTCATTCAATGACGTTCCACTTCATTCCTGTTTTATGGTTGAATAGTATTCTCTCATATAAGTGTACTATTACACATTTTGTATATCCATTCACTAGTTCATGGACAATTGCCTATTTAGGCTTTTGGAAATGGTGCCGCCCTGAACATTAGTGTACCAGTTTTTGTTTGAGTATGTGTTTTAATTTTTTCAAGTATATACCAAAGAGTGGAATTGCTGGGTCATAAAGTAATTCTATGCTTACCTTTTGAGAAATCACCAAGCTGTTCTCAGTTTATATTCCCACCATCCCTGATTATAGGTTCCAATTTATCCACATCCTCACTAACACTGGTTAATTTCCATTGTTTTATTTATTTTTTTATTTTTTTAAAAATTTATTTATTTATGCATATAGGAGCTGGGGTGTGGGCCAGAGGTGCAGGGTGGGAAACGAATGAGAGGATTCACTGGAGACAGTAGAAAACAGAACAGGCAGATTGACTGAAATACACTGCTGAGGGGAGCAGCGGGCCAGTCAGGAGAGGTCTGCTGCGCTGTATGGGTAACTCCCTGGCCGGGGATCGAACTCATGCTGCAGTGGCTGCAGATAGCTTCATAGGTTGCATCTTCATCCTTTGCGCCAAAGGGAGGTCCTAGTTTCCATTGTTTTGAATATAATTATCCTAGTAGGAGTACAGTTTTGTGATTTTGAATTGCATTTCCTTGATGATTAATAACACTATCTTACCATGTACTTGTTAGTGATTTGTATTTCCTTGGAGAAATGTGTATTCAAATGTTATGTCCATTTTAAAATTAGATTGTCTTGTCAAGTTATAAAAGTTTATATATTCTGGATACAAGACCCTTATATGATTTGCAAATATTCTCTTTTATTTTGTAGGTTGTCTTTTCACTTTATTGGTAGTGTTCTCTGATTCACAAAAATTTTATTTTTTGTATGTGATAAAAGCACTTAACATGAGATCTAACTCTTAACAAAATTTTATGTGTAGTATACAGTAGTGTTCATTATAGGCACAATTTTCTACAGCAGATCTCTAGAAGTTAATCATGTTGTAGAAATGAAGAATAGCATTTCCCCATTGCCCTCCACCGCTACCCCAATTCCTGGCATCACCAGTCTACTCTATATACTTCTATGTTATTAGCTATTTTAGATACCTGAAAAGAAAAACTCATTTTCTTACCCTCACAGAATATTCTATACTTTAAATGTGTTGGGGTTTCCCCACACTAAGCAATTCTCTGACACTGGTGTCCTACAATTTAACTCAATTTTGACACTACCAGAAAATTGGATCAGAACTTACAAGTTAAGGACTCAGTCCCACAAGGCCCCCCTCCTCCTTCAGATGCCAATTCCAAGTGCAGGTTGTCAGCTGTGCTTCTGATCAACCAGCTATAAGTCAGAGGTTCCCACAACCTTTTCTGTGGATCCAATCATTTACTAAAATGTCTGACAAAAACACAGGAAAACAGTTTACTAGATTACTGGTTTTTTATGAAGGGTATCGAAAGGGTAAGAAAAGGGTAAGAAAAAAGAACAGCCAAATGAAAAAGTACATAGGGCAAAGTCTGGATGGATCCTGAGCACAGAGCTTCTGACCCATGGAATTAGGCACATGAATGATTTTTGTATACCAACTGGAATGTTCTCTGAACCTAGTCATTTAGGATTTTTATGGAGGCTTTATTTTTTTTTAAGATTTATTTATTTATGCATACAAGAACTGGGGTACAGGCCAGAGGTGCAGGGGGTGAGAGGATTCACCAGAGACAGTGGGGAGCAGAACTGGTGGACTGACTGAAAATACGCTGCTGAGGGGAGCAGTGGGAGATATAAGAGAGTTCTATTGTGCCATGTGAGTTAACTCCCTGGCCAGCTGGGGCATTAAACTCAGTGCAGTGCTGCAGAGGCTGCAGTGGCTGCAGATAGCTTCATAGTGCTGTGACTTAACCCCTTGTGCCACCAGGGAGGCCCGGAGGCTTTATTTCTTAGGCATAGTTGATTAAATCATTTGGTAATTGGGGGGCTGAAAGTTCTAATTCTAAGTTCTAACTCTAAGTTCTAACTCTTTTTAATCACTGAGTTGATTTTCCTGGCAACCAATCCTGTCTTTAAAGATTTTCCAAAAGTTCTTACCATAAACTCAGGTGTTACTGAAAGGGAATTTTATGAATACCAAAAGACCTTTATCACTTTTAGGAAATTCCAGGGGTTTTAAGAGCTCTGTGCCTAGAAATGGGGGGAGGGGAGAACTATCAAATGCATGTTTCTACTATGAATCCCAGTACCTCATATATGAGTGGAATCATGTGATACTTGTCATGTGACTGGCTTATTTGCTTTAACATAATGTCCTCAAGTTTCATCCACTTTATTGCATATGGCAAGACTCCATTTTTTGAAATTGCATTCTGTATGTATGTGCCATGCTTTCTTTATCCATTCATTTAGCAATGGACATTTTGGTTTTCACATCTTGGCTGTTGTGATATGATAGCCGTGACTTGGGAGTGCAAATATCTCTTCAACATCCTGATTTTGGATTCTTTGGCTAAATAGTCAGTTTTGTATTATGTAGCACAGAGAAGGCAAAGGTTTATCTTCATCTTGAAATTTAGCTGAGATGCTAATAAAAAGGCAGATTAATGAGAAAAGGTTCATTAACACAAGTATGCACCATCGCACAGGATAAACCTAAACCACACTTAATTCAAAATGGTACCTTAGAATTCCAACTTACATAGCGTTTTCAAAAAAAAAAAAAATTCCTAGAGAAATGATAGGGCAAAGAGGAGCAGGCAGCAGACTGGGGAAGTAAATACACGGGCTCAGCCTGAGAGCGTAAGGTTTGTTTGCAGATCCTTTGATGTCTCTAGGCTAAGTGTCTCTCTTCAATAAAAGGAGAATTTTTGTCTTGCTTTCAGACAGACAAGGGGGAGTTTTTTCTGGGTTTGCTGCTTAATTGCCTTCAGCTCAAAATAATTATATGAAAAGGTAATACCTTTTTTTTTAAAGATTTATTTATTTATGGACACAAGAGCTGGGGGACAGGCCAGAGGTGCAGGGAGTGAGAGGATCCACCAGAGACAGAGTGGGGAACAGAACAGGCAGATTGACCTAAGTACACTGCTGAGGGGAGCAGCAGGCGAGACAGGAGAGGTCTGCTGTGATGTGTGGGTAGCTCCCTGGCGGGGGGAGGGTGAGAGAATTCACCAGAGCCAGAGCAGGGAACAGAACAGGCAGACAGATGAAGTACACTGCTGAGGGGAGCAGCGGGCAGCAGGAGAGGTCCGCGCGCCATGTGGGACCCTTGCCCGGCAGCTGGGGATTGAACCAGTGCTGCAGAGGCTGCGGGCATCTTCGCAACCCAGCGCTCAACCTCTGCATCACTGGGGAGGCCCTTGTTATCTATGTTTTTATAGTTGCCATCAAAATGGGTTGAAGAGGTGCCTCATTGTGGTTTAATCTGCATTTCTCTCATGATTAATGAGCATCTTTTCATTTAGCTTTTGGCCATTTGTATGTTTTTGGAAAATGTCTATTCAATTCCTTTACTCATTTTTAAATTGGGTCATTGGTTTTTGCTATAGAGTTGAAGAAATTCCTTATATTTTTAAGTTAAAAATTTTTTTTAAAGATTTTATTTATTTATGCATACAAGAACTCAGCGGGTGAGACAGGAGAGGTCTGCTGTACCATGTAGTGAGCTCCCTGGCAGGAGATTGAACTCGTGCTGCAGTGGCTGCAGCTAGCTTCATAGTGCTGCTTAACCCTCTTGCCCCACTAGGGAGGCCCGCCTTATATGTTTTTTTATACTAGCTCCTTAGGGCCTCTCTTGTGCTGCAGGGGTTAAAGTCTCAGCACTATCAAGCTATCCTCAGCCACTGAGGATTGAGTTCCATCCCTGGCCAGGGATCTCACCCACATAGTGCAGCAGACCTCTCCTGTCTCACCAGCTGCTCCCCTCAGCAGTGTATCTCAGTAGATCTGCCTGTTCTGCTTCCCACTCTGTCTCTGGTGAATCCTCTCACACCTGGCATGTCTTGCCTAAACCCCAATTCTTGTATGATAGGGATTGCATTGAATCTGTAGATCGCTTTTAGGTAGTATTAACATTTTTTTTGTTTTGTTTTTGTTTTTTTATTTTTTTCTTCAGCCGAGACAGCAGAAGGGATGATTTATTGTACGCATATTGCATTCAGCCAACTGAGAACAGAACTAGTCCAGAATGTCACAGGTCCAGGGCAAAAGACCAAAAGGGACTGGTTTTGGTATGAGCAAGGTGGGTCTCTCAAAGGTGTTTGCAGCGATCAGATGGTGATGGATGTTCTAGATTCACTGAGACAAAGTTCCAGACAGTAGCATGCAGTCCAACAATTTGTACCAGCGTCCCTGGCCTCCGGCTTTCCTTATTTCTGCTTCTGTGGCTTCATGGTTGTTACTAGTTTACTTGGACCTCTGCCTCATCTTTCTTCTTTTGCCCTTCAGCCTGCGCATTTGCTTCTTCCTCCACTTGGCTCTCATGGCGCGGAGGCTTCCGGGAAGATGTCGCTAAGGCTGAGAGACTGTTTTTGGTTTTTTTTTTTTTTTAAGATTTATTTATACAAGAACTGGGGTATAGGCCAGAGGCGCGGGAGGGCGAGAGAATTCACCAGAGATAGAGCAGGGAGCAGAACAGGCAGACAGACCGAAAACACTCCTCACACAGTGTTTTAAAACACTTTAAATATTTACAAATCAGAAGACTTCAGAAAAGTCTGAATTTTTGGCTTTTTTAAAAAAGACAATTACTTGGAGCTGATTTTAAATGAAGTGTGTGCTCTACATGTCAACAACGCCTGTCTCGGCTTTTCATGCTGCTGAAGCAGTGTCATCTGCTACCATGGTAGTATTAACATTTTAACAGTAGTAAGTCTTCTAAACCATGAAAAAGGGATCTTTCCAATTTTCTAGGTCTTCCTTAATTTCTTTTGGCAAGACTTTGTCATTTCTAGCACACAAGTCTTGTACCTGCTTGGATAATTTATTCCTAGGTTTTTCGATTCTTTTCAATGCTAATTTAAGTGGAATTGTTTTCTCAATTTCATGTTTGCACTATTCATGGTGAGTGTATAGAATTACAACTATTTTGTTGCAACTTTGCTGAATTTATTAGCTGAATAGTTTTGTTTGTGCGTGTGAATTTTTTTTTTTTTTTAAAGATTTATTTATTTATTTATACAAGCACTGGGTACAGTCAGAAGCGCAGGAGAGTGAGAGAATTCACCAGAGCCAGAGCGGGGAACAGAACAGGCAGACTGACGAAATACACTGCTGAGGGGAGCAGCGGGTGCAGCAGGAGAGGTCTGTCGCTCCATGTGGCACCCTTGCTGGGGGCCGGGGATCGAACTGGCGCTGCAGAGGCTGCGGGCAGCTTCGCAGCCCAATGCTCAACCACTGCGCCACCAGGGGAAGCCCTGTGCATGTGAATTTTTAAATTGTGTTTTGTGAGCTAGGTGCTAGGATTTTTATACAACACCTGTGAAAAAGATATTGCCCTTCACGGGCTCAGGTTAAACCAGTTGATCTTTCCAATAGTTAGCAGTTGGCTATACCTGAATGTGTGTTTTCCCTTTGTAAAATGGTATCCTTTTAAAAAATGTAATTCTTACTATAGCCGCCCTCTCCTTATTCCTATACTGGAAGTAACCACTATTAATAATTAAATGGTCTCTTTCCTGTTTTCTATTCATAGGTATGTAAATCTACATGTACTTTTTAAATAAAAATGGGATCATACCATACAAATTGTTCTGCAACCTAATTTTCTCTAGAACATATTTTTTTATAGCTGCATTGTATGACCACACTGTAATTTAATCCATTCCCTGATGGTGGTATTTTACATATTTGCAGTTTTCCTTTATTACCCACCGTAGTGCACATCCTTATATCCTTTCACACTTGAACCAGTGTTTCTGTGGAACAAATTTTTGGTGTAATATGAAGGCAATAGTTTAAGTACTGATTGGTAATGCCAACCTACCTTTCAAAAAAATGATACTAATTTACATTCCCAGTGGTATGTAGTTTAAGAGGAAGAGGGCGCTGAATGTAGTGACTGAAGCAGCATTTTCAGTGTTGGCTTTAGTTCCTGCTGTGGCTTGGCTCCATGGGTTTCTGCATTTCTCTACAGATTAGCTCTAGGTCATTCTAGTTTGCTTGGACCAATCTTGAATCCAAGGTCTTTAGTCTTTAGAAAAAATGAGTTCACTTCAGACCCACTTTGGCCTTTGGCTCACTGGTCTTGAGGACTGCGGTTTTTCTAGACAATAAGGTTATTGAAAACCAAAGATAGGAGCCGAGTGGCCTAAGGAAAGTGACCACGTTTAGGGTGGGTGAGTTTCCTGCAGTTGGAGATACCATCCCTAAGGCACTCCTGCTTAGAGACTTGCTTTGCACGTGGTAAACTATTAGTCTACTGTTGTTTGCTGCCCTTCAGAAGTCCTGTATACTCTCTTCCTTTCATTTGAAGTTTGTATTGTTTCTCTGCCTTTTGGCCAGGATCCAGTGTAGTATCATTTGAAGCTCGTCCATGTTTGCAAACTGCAACATTTTCATCAGCTATTAATCGCATCAGAACAGTTAAGAATTACCTGGTAAAGTTGAACATGTGCATAACCAATGATTCCACCTCTAACAACAATAACACTTAACATATGTACCCAAGGAGACAAGTTTAAGAACATTCACAGCAGCATTCTAGTAATAGCAAAAAATTGGAGACAAGCAAAATAGTCATCCATAAGAAAACGAGTAACTAATTGTATATCAAAGTTTGGATACTTAGCAGCAGTAAAAATGAATGAATTATATAAATGAAACTTGCATGAAAGAATGCACAGATGAGGGCCTCCCTGATGGCACAAGGGGTTCAGATGCAACCTATGAAGCTGTCCGTAGCCACTGCAGCACGACTTTGATCCCCGGCCAGGGAGCTGCCCACATGGTGCAGCAGACCTCTCCTGTCTCGCCCACTGCTCTCCTCACCAGTGTGTTTTGGTGGATCTCCCTGTTCTGCTCCCCACACTCTCTGGTGAATCCTCTCACCTCCTACATCTCTGGCCTACGCTCCAACTCTCTTGTGTGCACAAATAAAATAAATCTTAAAAGAATGCACAGATGAATAAATAGAATATGATTCCATTTATATAAAATTCAGAAGCAGGTAAGATAACATTTTTAGGATATGCACATGCATATGTGGTCAGAAAAGCAAGAATGACTAACACAAAGTTCATCAGTGTGACGATGCCAGCTGGGACTGGGCACATAAGATTAGCATCAAAGGTGTTGATAATGTTCTGTTTCTTAAGCTGGATCATATATCCATGGCATTGATTTTATTATTAATTTTTTAAACTGTACATAATATATTACATATGTATATATTGTATATAGAATATCAAGATAATTTTTTAAAAATATGTTAAAATATCTCTCTCCTTTTTTTAACCTTTGTTTAGCTCTGAAATAGTGACGGTCCTCTTTTAGTCACCCACTGCACAATTCATGAAGACTGTAACCTCCATTTGGTGGGTACCACTCTCAAGTGCCTACACCACAGGTTACTTTTCACAAGGGATAGAAGAGAACACCATATGTCTGGTATTTTGGAGATTATAATGATTAGCAATATGTAATAATTTGCAAGAGAGTAATATGCCTCAGCACATTCAAATACTTCTTCTTTACCAGAAAATGACTGAGGGATCTAAAAGCTGTTATGGCTTTGGTATTCCAGATCTGACATGTTCTCCAACACAGAGAGAGCCCCATGCCTTGCATTTTCTAACACTTCATTTACCACAGCATCTAGACACAGGGGTATTAGAAATATTTCAGTAATTCAAGTAAATGATAATGGTGCAGTTTCTCTGGTTCTTTTTTCTTAACATTTCTAACATTTCTTTCTAACATTGTAAATATTGAAGTTAAGAACTTAAAAAGAAGAGTTTTATATCTCATACTAAATGCTAAATCTTCCAGAAACAAAACTAAGGCAGAATCGTAAGGATTAAGAATTTTACAAGCCAAGGAATGCCAAAGAAGCAGGAAAGAGGTGATGATCAGATTCATTCTCATAGCTCTTAGGAGCTAATACTGTTGACACCTTGATCTAGACTTCTAGTACCCAGAACTGTGAATAAATTTCTGTTTTTTAAGTAAAAAAAAGTCAAATCCTACATCACAGGCTAAACTAAAGGCTTCCTTTATTACTTGCTAAGTTATACCTTGCTATCTTATATGATTGAAGTACCCTTTCAGTGAGTACCAAAAGACCATGGTCAAGGAGCTATTTCAAATTTTCCCCCTAAGTGTTGAGCTGTTTTACTATCTGACTGGAAAACTAGACAGATACTCCACCAGCTCAGTATAGGACTTCCTCCTCCTTATCACTGACACAGGCATTTTCCCCCACATAGAGAGTAGATAGAGAAGTGCATATGGTTCTGGGAGTTCAGGTGGACAATGAAGGATGGAAAGTTCACCACTTGCCCTGGCGCTCCTGGATCAGCACAGGTATGGTGGTTGGAGTTGGTCAAGTCCACTTTGAAGACCTGGGTCTTCCTCTCCAAGAAATCCTAGATCTTCAGGCCCAAGATGTAATCCAGCTTCATCTTGTCCTCATCCAGCA